GCTGTTTATTTATTCTGTCAAGAGAGGTGAGGGAATAGTTTAAGAAAAAGGAATTGGAATAGAGACCCAGGAAGTTCTTGATTCAAGATCCTAATCAAGGTAAGTAAGAAGAGACAGAAGAAAGTACCAGAAATCTTAGGATTAAACATGCAATATTAGTTATAATAAAAAATAAACTGAACACTTAACTTTTGTCAATCGCTATACTGTGTCCTTAAACAGCTACCAAAGCACAAAAGCTAAACAGTTTGCCCAAGCTCACAAAGCTGGAAAGCAACAGAGCTGGGCTTCAAGCCCATCATTCAAGCTCATCACCTAGGTTTAACAATACTATCATCACAACTAATAATTGCCAATAATTATTTAATATTATTTAATACTGAGATCCTATTTAAGTGTTGTTATCACAGTAATGCCTTTTACAGCTGTTTTTTCATACCAGATACAATCAAAGTCCAGACATTGCCTTTGGTTATTAGGTCTCCTAAGTGAGAGCCTGTTTCATAACCTCTTTTGGTGGAAAAATATCAACATTTAAAATACAGTTGGACGGGCTGGCCCTAGTGGTCCATGCCTATAATCCCAGAGCTTTGGGAGGCCAAGATAGAGGACTGCTCGAGGCTGGGAGTTCAAGAACAGTCTGAGCAACATAGCAATATCCCATTTCTAAAAAAAAAAAAAAAAACTAGCCAGGTATGATTGTGCACACCTGTAGCTCTAGCCACCTGGGAGGCTGAGGTAGCAGCATCACTCAAGCCCAGGAGTTAGAGGTTACAGTAAGCTCTGATCATGCCATTGCATTTCTGCCTGGTTGACAGAGTGATACCCTGTTTCTAAATAAATTCATACACTTGGAAATTCATTTGAGTAAGAATTTTCAACTGTATTCAGAAAACATGATTGAAATAAACGTATAACCTGTGTGAAATACGATTTTAAATTTTTGCTGAAAAAATTACGTCATTAATTTTTAAAATTCTAGAACAGCTTTAGTTGAGAAAACCTCTAGATCCCTTCAGTAGGCTACAAAAAGAATGCAGAAGATGCAAACTATGTTCAACAGGAAATAGATGAAGTAAAGAGAGGAAGGTATAGAACCTTGTTTCTGATTCGAAGAAGAGTCATAATGTTGTTTTCTATTTTCTATTTTATTATCTTTTGCTAAAGAAAAGCTGGGCTGTAAGCAAAAAGCCTGGAAGAACAAATAGAAGTACTTTCCTCTGATATGTTCTAGGAAGAAAGGTTTCTCTTTCTAGGAGAGGAAACACTAAAATAAAAAGCTTTTGGTCAGAGTTTTGATACCTGACCTCAGGCTGGCCCTCAATCACTGTTTGGCAGACCTAGCATGGAATCCCACTGCTGCCAGAAATGGCAAGGGAAACAGGCCAGCTGATGTTTCACATCACGTGCTCACTTCTCAAACACAACTTTCTAAGTAACTGTAAACCTTAAAAAATGCTTTCACTTGCAAAAACAAAAGGATATGATAAAATGTAGAGTGATTTGGAGTTTCAAAGTATTTTTACATCCCTTATCAATTTAATTTTTCTTGATAACCCAAAAAGGGTATTATCATTAAACCTCTTTTATGGGCATCTAAAGTTGGCTGGGATCAACTTGCTCGGGAGCCTGGACTGTGAGTCATTCTTCTGAATCTTAGTCGGGTGCTCTACCAGGCAACACTTTCTGGGTACTGCAGTTCTCTTCTTTTCCTTATTTAGTCAAAGTGTGATTGAATTAAATACTGGAGAAAGTATAAAAAATTAAAGCTACATAAAATTAATTTTAGAAAAAAAGGTTAGATGATATATTGAAGGATCCTATTGAAAAGCCTAACTCTTGGAAACTCATCTAGTAGAGGAAAATATACACTTAGAAAAGCAAAATTCTTTCTTGAAAATATATTTAACAAATTATTCCTATGTAATAAAACTGTTAGGGCTGAGCTTGGTGGCACAAGCCTATAATCCCAGCACTTTGGGAGGCTGAGGTGGTGGACCACCTGAGGTCGGGAGTTCAAGACCAGCTTGACCAACATGGAAATATCCCATGTATACTAAAAATACAAAATTAGCTAGGCGTGGTGGTGTGTGTCAAGATGGCCAAAGGGAGACCTATGTTAATTCGATCTAAATAAGTATAAGCTGGCTTGCCTCAGAGTACACTGAAGTTTATACACTGAACTAAACTGTATTATTGGTGCAGTTAATTAGAAATCAAGCGGCAACAGGAGGCCTAAGGTAAAGACCATCGAGAGGGCAGTAACACTGGGGAACACCTCGGGATGGCTGCAGAGCAGGGAGTACTGCTCTGGTCCCACGAATGCCTTCTAACATGGAGACTGCATGAGAGTCTCCTAATGAGGGCTTGTGCAAAGATCTGAGAAGGGAGGCAACCTCTGCTCACAAGATCTGGGAGGGTCTTTTCGGATGAGAGCTGGCAGGGAGAAAAGCCTTGCAGGGCAGAGATCAGGGAACGCCTCAGGCTCTGCCTAGGTTCTCAAAATATGGAGTGATTTTAATTGCTCTATGTCCTCCAAGCTCAGGAGACAAAAGCCCCTTGATGCATTGGGTGTGGTGAGACCCCTAGCTCCTCCTCTGCTATACTTCTGATGCTGTCGCACCCTGATAACAATCAGTGATAAACTCAGTACTAGTTTAGCATGTCTTAGAAGGACCTCAAGTGCTGTTAAATGCATAGAGCACAGTTTAGCATGTCTTAAGAGTATCTCAAGTACTCTCGGCCCCCCTTTTTACCAACCCCTTCACATCCCCTCCACACTCTCAATGAGATTATGCACATGATAAAGGTGCTTGAGCCCAGAGCTTGGGGCCAACTCGATTCCCACAGTGTTTTCCCCTAGACCTATGCTGTAAATTCTACTCTTGTGTCTCTGTGTTTATTTCCTTTTCTCAATCCCTCGACATGGCCCGGACTAAGGGCACCCACGTTTGGGGTTGGGGCTGGTACCCAACACGGTGGTGCATGCCTGTAATCCCAGCTACTCGGGAGGCTGAGGCAGGAAAATCATTTGAACCCAGAAGGCAGAGGTTGCGGTGAGCCGAGACTGCGCCATTGCACTCCAGCCTGGGCAACAAGAGCAAAACTCCGTTCCAAAAAAAAAAAAAAGAAAAAGAAAAAACCGTTACGTAATCATCAGCATAATTTTTATATAGCTAGGTGTCATAACTGTATTTTTAATTTTACCATACAATGTTATCTTTAGTTGTACCTATTAGGAAGGCATTTATACAAGACATTAGTAAAAAGCTAAAGTAATATTCAAAGCTGTAAAGAAAGTTAACTGCAAGGATTAAGAACATATCCTCAAACTGCTACTTTGTTCACATTTTTCCTACCATTAATCTGATAAATTGCTGTGCTCACAGTGCTAAATATCCATCTTAAATAATCATAGTTCTATTTAAGCATAGTAATGTCTTTTTTTGAAAGTCATAAGTGACTCTTCTGTTTACAAGTTTACGGCAGACTGAATTATTTTTCCTAACCTACTGCTCTATAAACGTAGAAGTAAAAAGTATTTGCAATAAAATTCAGGATTTAAAACTTTTTTATTGCTAAAACCAAGCTGCCTTCATACCATACCTTTTGGATGGCTGTAACAGGATTTGCTCCTTGTCAGCTTTCATCTCTTTACCTCTTGACCACACTATTAATTACTGAAAAAAACCACAGCTGTACACTTACCTAGGTTTTAAAATCACACACTGAAAAACTAACTAAAATTATACTTCTAAATAACCTAAAACTGCTTCCAAGTTATATTCGATATTTTGAAATAAAAGCAAGCGCCTCAAGATTAGAGGTGCAAATAAATTATAGAAAGTGTATTTTCAGAAAGAAAACAAAACAAAAGGTGCACACACACACAAAAGAAAAGTGTTTTCAGGCCTTTCAACCGCGAATGCTCTTTGTTTCTAACTGGAAAGGAGGAGTTAATAGAAATAGAACACTAAGAAAAAGCACGTCCTTGGAGACACATCGCTATTTTGGTTGACGGAATTTCGTATATAAAAACATCTTAAATTGTACTTCTTCCCAAGCTTAAAGTCCTTAAAATGAGAAAACCGAAAGGTGAATTCAAGGCCAGCGCGTTTTATTTCCGCTGTCCCAGAAGCGCTGGGCGCTCCCAAAGCTCCGCTCCAACAGCGCCGCGCCGCGCTCTCAGCAGCGCCTCCGCTGGCTTCTCCCAACCCCAAGCCCAGGGCAAAGCCTCTCGCACACCTGGACGCCAGCAGGTGACCCGCGACCCACTCCGGGGATCTGGTACGAACCGGCCAGGAAACCACCCCCGCCCGGAGGAGGGAGCCACTGTCACCCGGCCTGGAGGGAGGTCCCCACCCCAAACATGGGAGAGGAACGAGCCACTGTCACCCCAGCCCTGAGGGGCGCCCACTCTCACCCTTGCCGGGGGGGCCGTCCCCACTGCCACTCTGGCCAGGAAGGGCGCCCACTGTTATCCCTGCCAGGAAAGGCATCTCCATTGTCACCCTGGCCAGGAGGGACACCCACTGTCACCCCAGCCAGGAGGGACGCCCACTGTCACCCCCTGCCTGAAGGGCACCCACTGTCACCCCCTGCCTGAAGGGCGCCCACTGTCACTCCTTTCTTGAGGGGGGCCCACTGTCACCCTGCCGGGAGAGGACAACCACTGTCACCCCCGCCCTGAGGGGCGCCCACTGTCACCATGTCAGGGGAGGACACCCACTGTCAGCCCCGCCCCGAGGGGCGCCCACTGTCACCCTGGCCGGGAGGGGCGCCCACTGTCACTGGCTCTCTACGCCGTCCGCTTCGGGACGTGGGGATCCGGGAGGGATCTGGGTAGGGGCCCCCTGACAAGCGCGGCCTCTCGCCCGGGCCCGGGCCCACCCGCTGCCTGGAGCCACCGCGTCCTCGCGGCCGCCCTTGTCGCGGACTGCACCGGTCAGAGCCTCCCGGGCGCCCCCGGATTGCGGGGTCCGGCCTGCGGTGCTCGTCACCTCATGAGGTAGTCCCGGAAATCCTTGCTTCGGACATAGTCGGCCGCTTTCCGCACCAGCGCGCCAGCCATGGTTGTTCCGGACACCAGACCCCAAGTCCTCCGTGCCGCTGCTGCCGCTTCCCGGAGCCTGACACTCCGACCAAAGCCGCGGCGCCGGCCGAGGGCGCCCTAGCCGTGGGCCCGCCTCACGACACTCGGCCACGCCTTACGGCCGCATCGCACCGTCCGGTTCTCGGCCAATGACAGGGTGCAGGGCTGGAGATGGTGGCGCGGATTGGCTGGCTTGTGCCGCACCCCTCCTTCCCGCCCCCGGTGGCGGGCGGGGGCGGGGCCCACTGCCGTAAAATGGCTGCGGCCAGGGGGGGACTGCTGGCGTTTGCGAGGCCCCCGCAGCTCCCGGCCCTCCTGGGCGTGGAGGTAGCATCTCTGTGACCCGCAGGGCTGTGGCGCCCCTGCGGAGCGTCGCGCGGTCGGGGGGCGCCCTGCGGGAGTGCCCCTGCGGCGCAGCGCCCCGTGGGCCTGGCCGGGTTCCCGCGGCGCTAAGGGCCTGTGTCTGCGCCGGTTCCGGGCAAGTGCAGCTTGCCCAGGCGGCCCGCATACCCCGCGCTTCCCGCGCCCACGTGGGCAGACCCAGCCGGGGAGCTGGGCCCGCCTGCGGTTTCCTGGCCCTTGGAGTGCGCAGAGCCCCGGGCCAGAGATTGCAGGCGGGGCCCTTGGCTTCCCCCGAGCACTTTCCCCGGACTGGTCCATCCAGTGTGGCGAGCGGCACCCAGGGCCCGCGCCCATCACCCACCGCGCTGCAGCTACGGGCTCAGGAGGGAGCCGCAGTGTCGGAAGAGGAAAGCATTCAAAAATAGCACAAAGCCTTAGGCTGGAGGAAGCGTGACTGCTTAGGTGTTGAAAATAAAGGTTCTGTAAGTCCACTGCGGGTGCATATCGAAAAGAGAAGGAACCATTAGCACGCTGCTCTCGCCTGGGAGTATATAATCCGCGGCACGACCTCCGGATCACCAAGGCAGAGAGAGGAACACATTGAAGGCTTTTGCTCATTTTTCCAGGTTGTTTCGTTTCTGACATGATCAGTCAATTAAAATGATTCTGGTGGCCAGGTGCGATGGCTGACGCCGGTAATCCCAGCACTTTGGGAGGCCGAGGAGGGTGGATCACTTGAGGTCAGGAGTTTGAGACCAGCCTGGCCAAGGTAGCCAGGCACGGTGGCAGGCGCCTGTAATCCCAGCTACTCGGGAGGCTGAGGCTCGAGAATCGTTAAATCCAGGAGGGGGAGGTTGTAGTAAACCGAGATCGTGCCGTTGCACTCCAGCCTGGGCAACAGAGCAAGATCTGTCTCTAAAATAAAAACTAAAATGCCTCTGGTGAACAGGAATTCTCAACGTTGGTGACCCGCAGTGTATTAGTGTTAATAACGGACATCCCCTTTGACCCAGCAAGCCCATCTAGAGAGTTTCTAGGATAGACAAACCAGTTTGTGCAATTTCATGGGTACAGCATTGTTTTTAGTATGGAAACATTAGAGTTTGCATATCCCCCCCAAAAAAACCAAAACAATTGAATTCCACTTCTTGCAAAAAGGAAAAAAAAAAATAGAGTTTACATATCCATAGGGAGAGAGTTAAATCAATGATGGTGCACCCATTCAGTGGATTAGTAAACAGCTGTTAGGGGTAAAGGAATTCTGTATGTGTTGATATGAAATATCTTTTTTATTTTCAAGAAAAATTCCAGATTCAGAACAGTGTATGAAGTACGCTACTCATTGTGCATAGGGACAAAGAAAGTGCATACACATTCACATTTGCAAAGATACTGGAGAAATGTTAGTAGTGGCGGCCTCTAAGAATGCCGAAGAGTGACACTGACTTTTCATTGTATCTTCCTTTGTTCTTTTTGAAATTTGTATAATCATCATATGCTATCTATTCACAATAAGTGGTGTTAAAGAAGAAGAAATGCGTTTAACATTTATATTCACCTTGACAGATGGGTTCATCTTTGTAAGAACTGATTCACTTTGAACAAAAACATTCATTTCAAGCCTACATCACTTCATGTTAACTCAGTTCACCTGCTTGTTTCAACTGAGTTGTAATAGCATTGAATTAAAAAGTTACTGCATAGATCAAAAAACATATCTTCGATTTTGGGGTGTAATTGGTTTTTTTCTTTTGCTGTTATCACCCACGCTGGAGGGCAATGGCGTGATCTTGGCTCAGCACAATGCCATCTCCCAGGTTCAAGTGATTCTCCTGCCTCAGCCTCCTGAGTAGCTGGGATTACAGGCATGCACCCCTATGCTGTGCTGATTTTGTATTTTTAGTAGAAACGGGCTTTCACCACGTTGGCCAGGTTGGTCTTGAACTCCCGACCTCAGGTGATCCACCTGCCTCGGCCTCCCAAAGTGCTGGGATTACTAGCAGGAGCCACTGTGCCCAGCAGGGTGTAATTGTTTCAGCTAATCTGCATAATGCTGTTTATTGTAATGCAATTTACTGCCCATATATTCATGTTAGAAACAACTATAAAATCATTATTATTGACTTATATTCCAGAATGTTTAATTGCCAATAAATATTCCTGTCTACCTGGGTCACAAAGAAACTTTTACATGAAGCTTTTAGACTTCAGGGTCAGCTCTTCCATCAGCTTTGTGACATGCTGAGAAAATGAATCACTGCTGTGTGTTTTGATCCTTGAGTATTTGGTAACCTTTCCCTTTATTTATTTATTGAGACAAAGTCTTGCTCTTTCTCCCAGGCTGGAGTGTAGTGGCACAATCTCCACTCACTGCAACCTCTGCTTCCCAGGTTTAAGGGATTCTCCTGCCTCAGCCTCCCGAGTAGCTGGGACTACAGGCACACACCTCCATGCCCAGCTAATTTTTGTATTTTTAGTAGAGACAGGGTTTCACCATATTGGCCAGGCTGGTCTTGAACTCCTGACCTTGTGATCTGCCTGCCTCAGCCTTCCAAAGTGCTGGGATTACAGGTGTGAGCCACTGTGCCTGGCCACCTTTCCCTTTAAGAAATTCTTGAGTTGGAGTTAAAGTAGAATAAACCTTTGCAAAACTCTTCATCTCAACCAATGAACACCAGCAAATTAATTAAATTTCTTTCAATAGTTCTAGAAACCAATCGTGACTCATGACATTTGCTCACATATACCGAACTATTTAAAAAACTCCATGGGGAAGAGGTGGGGCAAGATGGCTGAATAGAAGTCTCCGCAGATTGTCGTCCCCACAGAAACACTGAATTTGACAACTGTCTACACAAAAAAATCACCTTTATAAGAACGGAAAATCAGGTGAGTATTCACGGTACCTGGTTTTAGGTTTATATTACTAAAAGAGCAGGAAAGACAGCCTTGAATTGTCTACATCACTCCTCCCCATCCCCTGGCAGCTGCCATGTGATTCAGAGAGACAGTCTGCATATTGGGAGAGGGAAAGCACAGTGTTTATGGGACTTTACTTTGGAACACAGCACTGTCGACACCAGGAAGAATTCAGCTGATACCCAAAGGGGGAGCACGTAGAGCAGCCCTAGCCAGAGAGGACTTGCCCATCCCAATGGTTGGAAGTTGAAGGGAAAACTTGGAATTCTAAGGGTGTTGTCCAGGCCTCTCTGGACCCATTTCTTTCTTTTCTTCTTCTTCTTCTTTTTTTTTTTTTTTTTTTTTTTTTTTTTTTTTTTTTTTTTTTTTTTTTTTTTTTTTGATGGAGTCTCACTCTTGTGGTCCAGGCTAGAGTGCAATGGCGCAATCTCAGCTCACTGCAACCTCCGCCTCCCGGGTTCAAGCAATTCTCCTGTCTCAGCCTCTCGAGTAGCTGGGATTACAGGCATGTGCCACCACGCCTGGCTAATTTTGTATTTTTAGTAGAAACAGGTTTCTCCATGTTGGTCAGGCTGGTCTCGAACATCCCAGCCTCAGGTGATCTGCCCATCTCGGCCTCCCAAAGTGCTGAGACTACAGGCATGAGCCACCACGCCCGGCTGCTCTGGACCCATTTCTAAATGTGATATGAGAGAAGGAGTAAGTAGCCAGCTGAAGGGCATATTTGAGGTGAATGTGCCCTAACGCAATTACATAGATTATCCAGAAACATTAAACTGCAGAGTAGGATCTGTCTATTCCTCAGAAACCTTTCACCCACAAAGTGGTTTAAAGTTTGACTGTGTTGAATTTGTTTGCTTGACCTCGAAGAGACTTCCACGTGGATGGCTGTGATGAGACTGGACATAGCCCTCAGCAAGTCTGAGAGCTAATATTTGTGCACATGCATCTATGCCGTGGCCTGACTTCACTCTTCCAGGGAGCAGGTGCAGCTTAGCTGCCTCCCCGGTCGATCAGGCAAAGTTTGGTATCCTTGAATCATTCACCCAAAGGGGACATTGCCTGCAATAGTAGCAAGTTACTGTCAACAAGTCTGCAGAGGGAGAGAGGGAACCGGTGCTGGCTGGGTTGACTCTGTTCCATGCGTTTCACAACTCCCTAGCCCTGGCGTCTCTAAGGAGGAGGAAGCAGCTTGCCCTCACGGCAGGTCACGTTTCAAGTCATCAGGCTCCAAGGTGCTGATTTTTGTCCCGGCACAGCTCATAATGGCTGGAGCTACAGCTTTAACCTCTGACTTCCAGGTGCCAAAGTGTACACATTTTTCTGCTTTCATGCCCTGCTAGTCCTGTATGTGGAAATTAAGTTTTCCTGTGGTTTTTGGGGTGGGAGAGGTGGCAGCAGAAGGAGGGGGATGTTCTTCCTAAGAAGTCAGGCCCAGCTCAGACCTTCCGTGTGGCTCGCACCCGTGTCTGTGTTTTCTCACTCATGGCCATCACGCCTTCTTTCATCCACTCCACAGCCCTGCAAGGGCCTGCCCAGGGCCTGAGTGCATGTGGAGTTCAGGTAAACACAGATAAGCCTTCAGCTATGCTCACAATCCAACTGAAGAAATAGGCTAAAAGAGAGGGAGGCAGGTGAGGGAAGAAAGAGAGAGAGAATCATTGCATCCAAGGTTATGCTAATGACAAGGGCGCCAAAGGCAGAGTGCCGGGAGGGAGCTGATCTTTAAGGGTGGGTGGGGTGGCTCCTGAGGGCAGGGTAATCCGGGAGCCTTTCTGAGGAGGTGAGATCTAAACCAGGAGCAGGAGGCAGAGGCCTGGGCAGATGCCCCAGGCAGAGGAGACAGTAGACAAAGGG